TTCAGCATCTTAGCTGTAGAGGGCAGTGTCACTGGCCCTCATATGTGGGATCCGAACCGGGGCCCTCTGGCATCCCAAGCCAGTTCTTAACCAATACGCCACTCAGCCAGCCCTACATTAATGTTTATAGCAGCTTTATTTATAATGACCCAAAATTGGAAACAACCCAAATTTTCAACAACTCATGAGTGAGTAAACATATTATGGTATATCCATCTAATAGAACACTCTCATTAAAAAGAAACAAGGTGCTGATATGTTTAGCAACATGGATAAATCTCAGAAGCATTATTCTAAGTAAAAGAAGCCGGACGCCAGAGACTACATACTGTATAATTTCCTACAGCCTTCTGGAAAAGAAAAAAATTATAGGGACAGAGATCAGATCAGTGGTTACCGGGCCCTGGGGTTAAGGTAGGAGTTTGCCTGTAAAGGGGCAGAAGGAATTGGGATTGTGGCAGTCGGGGGGGGGGGGGGTTGTTGGTACAGATATGCAGACATGTTCTATACCCTAATTGTAGTGGAGGCTGCCTACTTTCTATGTTAGTCAGAACTTAAACTGTGTACCTTAAAAGGGTGGATTTTATGTACATAAATTAGACCTCAGTAAACCTGACTTGCAAAAAAAAATGTTAGGAAATATGGGGTAATAATGCAGGTAATGGCACATCCAGTCATGCTGGTTTTTACAAAGGTTCCTATTTGTATGTTTCTCAGCACTGTTTTGAGGTTAAACAATATGCTGGGTCTCTTATCTCTCCCCTCTCAATCCCTTTGTCAGTTGGGTTTAACCACAATCCCTTTGTCAGTTGGGTTTAACCAAAGGTAAACACAGCAGGAGATTGTATCAAGGAAGCAGAGTGAAATCTCTGTGTGTGTTTCATAGGCGCCCTTCCCTGTAGTTTGCTCTTGACTGGCTGTATCCTTTGATGAAAGATGATGCTTCTGCCAGGCAACTTTCTCTATGCAGACCCCTCTGTCTCTGGGTCCCTGTAATCACATTTAACCCTTCAGGATTAGGGATGACTGGCTATTTTTGGTTCAGTGGACTGCACTATCCTTTCTGTTTCCTCTACATGTTGCCCTCATTAAATTCAAATGACTCAATGTGAATATGCCATGTCTTTCCTGCCAGAATCCTGACTGATACAAAGAGCAACATTCAGCTCCTGGTCCCATCACTTTTAAGCTATGAGCACTTAGGCTATCCATTTCACATTGAGCCTTAGTTTTCTCATCTGTTGGGTATGAATAATAATACCTGCTTGGCAAGGTTGCTATGGGAATGCAATAATGCTATCTATACTAACTGAAAAAGTTTTCATTAATATTTTCTCCCTTGCTCATCTCAGTATCTCTCATCTATCTCTAGTTGTTTTTCTATTTCTTCATATGCTCCCATTTCTCCTCTTTTTTTTAAGATACCAGAATGCTTCTGTTCTGTGTAAATGCATCACCTATTTACGTAGGGGTATATAATATGCAGAAGCCTGTATGAATGGCTTAAATGTACCATGGCTATGTTCCTGGAATAAACTGTTGCTATTTCTACTGCTGCAGAACAGTTAAGTCAAACTTTTGAATTAGGTCAACAAAATCCACAAATAGGGTGGAATCTTTGGACTGCCTAAGCAGGGACAGATCTGGAATAAATCAGCCACAGATATCACTTGTCAGCATGCTGAGGGAAGCATTTCAAAAAGGGTAGAAGGTACGTCAAGAATATTGGCTTCTGCTAGCCTTATGATGCATCCGTTAAATCTATATTGAGAGTTTTCCATCATGCGGATTCAAGCTTAACATAATCGTTTTATGGCAGTAATGTCTAAACAAGAGTCCACAATTAGGCTGTATTTTTATCTTGACTTGTGAACTATCGCTGCCAACTGCTCGAATTTCAAGCTTGTTGAGACATATGTTATCCCTGGAAACCCTTCATAAAAACGAAGCATTTTACTGTCCCACCAATTCAAGTGTGCTCTGGTCAATTCCCCATCTAGATCCAAATTAACCATATAATAGTTCCTACACTAGTGAGTAGTATTTTAAATGGCTTTTTAAGCAAAACCAAAAAGAACAAATTTATTTCTATTTGTGCAAAAAAACTTAATATGGTTTGGATCCTCTTTTCTAGCTTTTTAAATAGTGAGACAGAATGAAGTCGTGGGAAAATAACTGGATATGAAATTAAGATCTGTATTTGGAATCTGGCTCTGCCACTGCTTCTAGCTGTGCAATCTCAGCAAGTCACTTAATTTATCTAGCCTCAGTTGCTTTATCTGTCAAATGGGGATCTACTGGTGAATTAAAGGAGCTCACAATGATCAAACATACTGCCTTTAGGATTTAATAACATTATTTTACAATTTGTGTATGTAAGGTTGCAAATATAATTAGTAGGAAATGGGAATGGAGGAAACTTTCAGACAGAGACAGAAATCTTCTGGTTAAAAGGAAATTAAAATACTGCAGGACAAGAGCAAGATAAGAATGATTACGACGTCTGCATTTATAGCCCACTTGTCACAGTTCAGTATTTATAGGTTTGTTAGTGACTGCCTTCCCAGGATAGCAATGTTAATTACGAAGTAGCTGTCAGTTTCACTGACACAGCGTGCTGTTCACCTGACGGAGGCTGAAACTACTCACCATTTCCATAGATAATCATTTCATTTAAGGGTCCGAAATATACACCAATAAATCACTGTGGGTTTCTGATAATAATCTCCCTAAATCTTACTTTGAAATACCCTAATGATTCTTTCTTTAACATTTTATTTCTTTTTTTAACATTTGGTGCATTTTATTTCCCAAATATGATTTGTAAATCTCAGAGCTGGAGTAAAACCTCAGGAAGAGGTGATGGATCTAAGTAAGGGTGAACACAATACTTAATGTATACTTAAATTTTCCAAAGCCCAAACCCCATTGCCACTTAAATGCCACGATCAATGCAATAGATATAATAAATATGAAGAAGAAGAATGAGAGAGAGAGAGAGAGAATGAGAGAGAGAGAGATGAAAGGGAGGTTTGGGGAAATGTTCAGTGGAAAATCTGTAGAAATGATGTAAGAGAAAGGAAAGGCAGGGATTGGAGTAAGGGGTGTATAACTGAGACTATAAAAACTCAGAGAGAAAACTCACCATCAGGACTGAGTTTGGAAGAAACTGTAAGACAGGGCTCTAAAGTTAGAATCTCCTGATTTTTCACAAGGTAAGTTAAATATAAAAGCTGATATTTAGGGTTTTTTCCTTTTAACTATTTTTAAATCTTCACATACTTTTTAAATGTTTTGATTATATCTTGATTTTGTTAAAATTAGAAATTTTGTTTGCGGGGGATCATATTGCCATCTCTAAAATGAGTAGAAAATCTAAGAAGATAATTGTGTAATGAAAACTTAAGGTGGAGCTAATTGTTTGCTCAGACATTTCCTATTTATACATTATTTTTTGCTTTTGTTTTTCATTTCAAAACAAACAGAAAGGGAGCTCAAGATAATGATTTTATATGTATTTTAATAGTATTCATTTTGTTTCCATCAAAGATGTTCAATGTTAAGAAAATTTCTAATGTACAAAAGAGACTTATTTTTAAAAACCTAGGTAGAACAAAAAATATTTTTAATGTGAAAACCTATGTATGAAAGAAAGTTTTTCTCTTATCTTTATTTCTATTGAAATTGGAGCCAAAGAAACATTCCTAAATAAGTCAAATTCTATATTCTTTAAATTTAAAGTATCTTCTGTTTTCCTTCTTATAAAACTCAGGTATGCAAGTATGATATTAATACAGTTTAGAGTAGACTTATATCATGTCTGTTTTTCAGTATTTAGAGTGCTTTTGCTGTTAGATGATTGAATTGGGAGTTACTCTGAAATATACATTTGAGTTCTGTTTAAGAACAAACTTAAATTTTTGTTTCAGGTTTTGTTCTGCGGAAATAGTGTACACTCACTAAATTCAGTTTTAGCAATGCAAACCAATGCTCCTTCAAATTACAATAATATAATCTATAGATTTAGAAATATGATTATTTGTTTCTGAGTTATCCTTCTAGAAATTAATTTTAACAATTGCTTGTGATTATTTTAATCAGCTATAGGATTGATAATATCATATTTAATGGTCTCCTCAAAAACATCAGACACATTTTGTGTTTTCTCTTTACTTTGGTACTGCTCGTCAGCAATCATAGAACTTTTCTAAGGAGAGCTTCCTGTAGATAAGAATCCAAGTCTCCTCTTTGTAAGTAAATTGCGTTATGGCTTCATTCAATAAGTTATTTAAGGTATTTAAGGTTGACATTTGCTTTCTCCCCCTTATTTCTCAGGGTTTTGAGTTTCTTCTTCTATAATGAATCATGGGCAGTAGAGAAGCAGATAAGTTTAGTAGAGTAGGTTTGGGGACCTCGGGGCCATAATTTTAACTTCTTATTCAAATACGTTCAATGATTTGAATATTTGTATAATAAAATTAGATGAATTGAGCATGTCTTAAAGGAACAGAACTCAAAGTAAGCAGTCCCATAATATTGCCCCAACTCTGTCACTGTGTAGCTGTGCCACTTTGGGCATGTCTTAAAAACATGGTAGGGCTCAATAATACTCTGTTACTATTGAAAGAGAAACAAGAACTAGAAGTGCCAGGATACTGCATATCTAAATGACCTGGGGAAGCTCCTATGTCAGCAGTTCCCCCTGTATTAGAGAGTGAACACCCAGTATAAGAGAATCCTAGGGCTGATCTTTAGACATCATCTAATTTAACTTCCTTGCCAAAACTTCATCTTCTGTGATACCTCCCCACCAGACAACTTTTGCTTAGATTCAGGGGTGCCATTGGAGGAACACAAGTTTGGAGTCAGGAAACCAGGCTTTTGATCTCAGTCCTGGCTTTAGCAGCTTTCACTCAGCCTCCTGGGGATGCCTTCTCCACTTAGTAACACTGGAGTCTGTGGTGGTACAAAAAGTGAGCCACAAGTTCTCTCCTAGCCCTAGGCACATCTCTAGCCAGGTCACCTCCCATGTGCCTAAAGATCTCTCTGATTAGAGGCATTTTTAACTGAGTTCTCCTCTCCTCCAAATCATTCTCAGGGTACCTCCCTGCAGCAGTGGATAGCACCACCTGCCAGTAATTGCCTGGTGCCTTGTTTGGTTTGAACTAGCTGTTGCCCATCCTTGCCCCTTCTCCCTTCTCAATGCCCCATCAGCTCAGCCCTCAGCACCGAGCACCTGCTCCCTCCAGGAACAACTCCTCTGCCATGCCTCCCCCTGTTCCCTCCCCTCTTCATCCATTTTATATCTCCCCTTCATTCCCTCTCCTTTGGGCAAGTTCATTGTCTCTGAGCTTCACTCTCTTCATCTACTGAAGATTTAAATTTGATGATTTCTAATGAGCATCCCTTTCCTTTCTAAAATTCTATATTCCTATGACATGTAAGTCTCTAAACATGTGAAAAAATGCACTTTAAAAATGTCATCCAGCCCACCACTGGCAGCTTAGTTGCTGACCCACAAAATCATAGCTTTGGCTCCCCGTGGTCCTCTCCAGGGGCATCCCTGTGGCCCCACAGTGAAGGTCACATTTCCCTTCAAGCTCTGAGTTGTCCATCCACTCCAGGACGCCAAAAGGATTGGAAAGTGATGTCCTCTCTTCCTCTACCTCCTTCACAGCCTGTCGTCCCCTTCCAGTGGCTCCCTTGCCTGAGTAAAGTCTAGTTCCTGTAACAAAGTCCTTAATTCCCATAAAACCTATGGTGGCTCTGCTTTCATGACAGAAACCTGACTATGCTATATTGTCAATATTACAAAAACTAAGTGAAAACCATGATTCTAACAACATAATCCAAGACTTTTTAAAAATTGAAGACAATAAAGATAGCTTATGAACTATAAACCAAAAAATATATTTCATATATAATTATATTAAAATTCAACTAAAAATTATCTTCTGTTGATATAATTACAGCTAGAAGAATAATTGTTTTGCGTATAACCAAGATTTCTTTCCTTTGTTTTCTTCCCATTAGAATATTCTCTTTAATTGTATGCTAATATTTTCATAGAAATATTATGGCTGAAATTAACGATAGTGTATAATATACTGTAACATCAAATGTTAACTCCAGTGAAATTTCCTCTCCCCACTCAACATTACTTTACTATATTTTATTGTACATCACTGTCATAATTCTAGATTTCAAGGACTAATTTTGTTCTTAAAATGAATAAGGGTAAAAAGGGTTGTTTTTTTCCCCCATAACAATAAAAAAGTAGAAATATTTTGAAAAGTTGCCATATTTAGAAGGCAATATCAGGATGATAGCTATTATTTATTGAATAAGTATTTTGTGCCAATCGCTTTACATGTATTATTTCTAATCCTTATACTAAACCTTCACACTAAGTCTTTGCTCCATTTTCCTGATATATTCAACCAGAGAGGCTAAGTACCATGCCTGGTCATACCCAGGTCTCCGTAACTTAAGCGCCAACCAAACTCTTTCTACTAACTCACTTTGTTGTATTAGAAAGTATCCACACACTCCCAGGAGTTAGGAAACCAGGGTTTTAAAGTAACCCAGGTTGCATCAGTTCATCTATTTAAAAAAAATAGTTATAATATTTTCCATATAGATCTAACATGACTAATATGAGGATAGAAGGAGATAGATTAATTTCAGAATAATAAAGTCCTCACAAATGTTAAAAAAAAAAGGTTATTTACAAAAATTGGGATTGAAGGAAATGGAAGCATTCCAGGAAGAGTGCTATTGCAGGAGGAAATTGCTGGCAGAGCAGTGGTCAAGGGGCTTCCATCTCCACCAGGCTGTGAGCAACTGGAGGACAGGAAGAGTGACTATTCACTGTTAACGTCCTTGGTGTACAGTATATACCTAATAAATGCATCCTGTTGTTAACATAAAAATTATACTTTGGGCCTTCATCCACATTTCAGAAAGTATTGTTTCATTGATTAGATTGGCTATTTGAGTGTAATTAAAATGTAAATCGATATTTTATTAAATATTATATATAAGTACAAAGTGGGATAAAGGGTGAAGGAGGTGGTGATACTCCATATTATCCTGAAGCTTATATATATGCCTTATTTAACTGCATTTATCCGACTTTACCCTTTAAAACCTCCTTATAGCACATAAAAATTGCCCAAGTATCAAAAGGCCCAGCAGCATGTCATGTGTAACTCTGCCATAGTTGTAAAGATACATGTTTTTCCCTTTATTAAGCATTAGAATTAAACAACGCTTAACAGAGTTGTATCCAATCATACACAAAATTATCTTCTATTTCTAGGTGACCTAGTTTTATATCAAGAAACTTGTAATAATTCAAGGATCTAAGCAAAATCAATGTTTGATAAGGAGAAATCTTGAACTCTACTGAGACAATTATTAGGGAATATTGATGCATGTCCCTTTCCTTAGAATGAGAATTTATGATGTGAAACATTAATAGACATACCGGGATTCTGGCATGAACTTTATCACCTATTACTGTAGGTATAAAACTGGGGCAAATCACTCTCCTTCTTTAAGCCGAGTTTCCATGTTAATAAAACTGGAATGTTAATATCTGACCTGTTTATGACCACACCAGGCTGCTTCATGCATTCATTCAACACAAAATATGGGCTCTATACAACACATTCTGTTGAGTGCTGAGATACAGTGGTGAACATGACATGGTTCCTACCCTCAAGGAGTTTACAGTGACAACTAAATACTTTCTTAAACATACATACCTGGGCTTCTTTCTTATAGAATAATGGGATCTTCCTTCAAAGTGTCATTGCAGGTTACTTTCTTCTTAAATTTTTGCAAAGAAGATACCAGTATCATGATTGGAAATTCCAAATAGAATAAAAATAGAGATATTTAACAACAAAATTTTAGAATTTTGGAAGGCAATAGTGTCTGAAAAAAGAATGAAAATGGTGCCAAATAGAATAAAATTAGTTAACACATGTATACTAGTAAATTATATTTTTTCCCGATTTGTGGCATTTAGGGAAAGTCATTTTAAAACGCAACTGTCTTCCAAGAAGACCTTATCCATAAACATTTCACTTTATAAGCAATTTGTTTTGGAGATGGAAAAATGTTTTATACTTCCACAAATAGGTTATACTTGAAGGAGCATGAAACTGAGCATCTGAAAATGTTAAGTTGTTCTGGCTCGTCTTCTAACTAGCTTTGTGACTTTGGAAAATTTACTACTGCTGATTAAAGAGCAATGATAAATGGGAAAGAACACATTCCTGATATTTTAATTAAAAAAAACGGGAAATGTTAAATTCATGAGTCTCAATTTGCACCTTCCTTTCAGGATTATACCCAAAACATAAAGCAAAATGCCCATCACACAATTTACTGAAAATAACAAATTTCACAAAGAGAATTTTGAACAAATAGCTACGTACCATGAGTATTGCTCACATGTATTTTTGTGAAGACGATGTAGGCAATGTCCATGTTAGCGATAGACGCTACACATTGTAATTCAATTGTTCTTGGATGAAATCCTCAGTGATTTTAAATTTCTTATTTGAGTTTATAAGGATCCAAAACTAATTCCCCACTTCTAAAGTTCTGAGTGCCACAGCCACACTCGGTTCTTTTGTTTGGGGAGCCAATTTCCCCAAAGCTATGGAATCACAGTGCCAATAAAGAAAAGAACACAAAATCCTTCCTTGCCTGTGCCTTCCAGCCGGCAAGTGTCTCAAGTACCTGGTTGCTTCACTCATCAAAGAAAATGAGAAAAAACGTTAAAGACCCTGTTTAAATGTCACTCATTGAAATATCAAGATTATCATGTCAAACTGTCATGTATCCTCTCGGTGTTTTAGCATAAGTTTTGCAGATTGTCTCTATAAGTGGACGGAAATTCCGTAAGTGGTTGTTGAGTATAATAAGCTTTATATGCCCTGGAAGGGTTTGTCTCCAAAACCCGCCTTCAGCTCCGTAATAATTACGTTTCTACCATGTCATTAACCTTTCCACGTTACTTTATACAGTAGTTTACAAAATGTTTTCATTTTAGAGTTCCCACTGAAAAATGTTTACCTAAGATATAATAATAACAAAAATGATGCTGTGCTTTTACACAGATGCATGTATATCTTCATACATTGTTAGTAAATAAGATTAAATATAAAATTAAATACTTGTATTACTCTTATTGAGCAAACCTAAGCCAAATCCATAATGATGTGTGCTATTGGTA